AGACACAGCGGGAGGACACCACGTGATGACCAGGCAGACATGCCGCCGCCTCCAGAAGCTGGAAGAGGCGAGGCAGGATTCCCCTACGTGTTCAGAGGGAGCAGGGCCCTCCAAACCGTGGCCTTCTAGCCTTCGCCCTGTGAGACAGCACATTTCTGTCTTAAGCCACCCGGCCAGTGGTGCTTTGATATAGGGCCCAGCCAACTGATATACCTGGCATGTGCCCCAGAGTGTGCTGAACACAGATGAAAGGAATGGTGTGCATCCTGGGGACAGGCTGGCAGTAAGGGGGTCTCCTCCACCTCAGGAGCTAAGGACTCAGAGACCCTCAGGAGGCGTGTCCTGGGCCCAGCACGTGAACTCGGGTGCTCTCCAGACCCCAAACCCTGGCTCTGTGGGTACCTCGGGGCCAAAGACTGGCTGTGAGACCGGATCAAGTTTCCTAGGAATCCTAAGCACCAAACAGAACATAGTGCCTCCTCAGAGGTGATTTGAAATAACGAGAACACTGACCATAACATGTCAGTTCTCAAATGACATCAAGTTTACTTGTGAGCTCTTGTTAAGAGGTTGCAGGGGTTTATATGTGTGTGGCCGGCACAGGGGACCGTCCAGCCTTGGGTCTGGGTGGGCTCAACTTGAACGAGCAGCGTGGGCAGGAGCTGGCTCACTCAGCCTCTGGAAAAGGGGGGTGGGGGTGCTGGCCTCAGGGGACCCCACCTGAGTTCTGGCTCCCGCTGGCTCTGTGAACACAGCCTAGCACTCAGGGGATCCTTGGGCCTGTCAGGAATGGGGTACATGGTGAAGGATGTGGGGGGGGTTTCCTGCCCCTCTTGGGACGTGAGGCTCACATTTGGGACTTACAGGTGTTCTTCATTTTCATGTCCTACGATGTAAACAAGAATAACTCGGAGTCCTACACATTACCATCTAACCTGCAGAACAACCCTGAGACACGCACGGTTATTATTGTCATTTCCCAAATGAGGAAACTGAGGCACAGGGAAACTGAGGGACTGTCCCAAGGTCGCCCAGCCACACCTGGCTGTGAGCATCATGAACACACTGGCTGTACGCTGGGCCCATGCAGTCGCCACACCATGGTGGGGACCCTGCAGGGCACCCTGTTCACAGGAACCCCTTTGCAGGAGGCTTAGCTGCCACCATAAGGCTGTGGCTCAAGCAAAACTCCTGCTCAGGAACGAATAGGGTGATTTCACCGAGACCGAGGGAACCCTGGTTAATGCTTTGGACCCTTTCTACCAGGGGGAGCGAGGCGAATGGAAGTAACTGAATGATGACAGCGAGTACAGTGTCAGTGGTGTGAGGTGAGAAGCTCTGGGAGCCATACGGCCAAGTGCCCGCAGCTGACACTACTGTATTTCTACTAACGCTCACCAAGAGGGTAGATCTCGTGTTACATGTTCTTACACACACACACACACACACACACACACTCAGACACACACACACACACTCACACACACTCAGACACACACACACACACTCGGGATAATATAATGAAAGAGGCAGAGGAAACATCCAGAGGTGATATATTTACGTCCCTTCTGATGGGGATGGCTTCACAGGTGTGCACTTACCCCCAATTCATCGAGTTGCGTACATTAAACATGTACAGCTATTGTGTGTCAATCATACCTCAATAAAGTGGTTTAAAAATCTATGTATATACAAGCATGCGTCACTTAATGATGGAGACAAGTTCTGAGAAATGTGTCGTTAGGTGATTTCGTGGTTGTGAGAATATCACTGATTGCACTCACACACACCTAGATGGTCCAGCCCACTGCACACCTGGGCCACATGGTCTAGCCCACTGCACACCTGGGCTCCCAGGTCCAGCCCACTGCCCACCTGGGCCACAAGCCTGTACAGCATGTCACAGCACTGAGTCATCTAGGCAAGTGTAACACAGTGGGAAGTACGTGTGCATCTAAACATATAAACACAGAAAAGGTGCAGTAAAGGTAAGGTAGAAGAGGTAAACAATGTCCACTGCATCGGGCACTTGGGTGAGTGGAGCCTGCAGGACCAGAAGCTGCTGGGGAACCAGCGAGTGAGCGTGAGGGGATGTGAAGGCCACGGCGTGGCTCCCGCCACTGCGGGCTTGACAAACACCGGGCACCAGCATCTCCACAAACAGGTGAGGAACGCATTGGGTACGAGTTGTCGATGGCTGCAGGGCACCGGGCGATAGGAGTATTTCTGCTCCATTACAGTCTATGGGACCACAGCCATACATGTGCGTGACTGTACAATTATCTCCAAAGGGCTTTCCTATTCAAACAGCACAAAAGGAGAAAGTAACGAAGTGACCACTGCAGTGTGAAAAGACCCATCCTCCCGGTGCTCGCAGCACCCTGGAAAGCAAGGCAGAGTGCGGGCTTCCAGCTCGGGATTCAGAGCCAGGTGGACGGGCTGGAGTCTGGCCCCGGACACTGCCCACCTGGGCGGCCTCGGGCAGACCTTGGAGCCTCCGTTCTCAGGTAACATGGCAGTGACAACCATGCTTACCTTGCAGGGTTGCTGTTAGGGTTAAGCGGGGTACTCCATGGGAAGCCCCCAGAATTAAGTCTTTTTTCAGATTTGAGATGGTTCAAGAACAGCCTTTGTGTGTCTGTTTGGGGGAGATGCGGGGACGGCTTCTCCGTATGCGCCTCTAAAATACAGGGGACCCTCCTTAAGTGCAGGTTCCACATCCACACATCTACCTACCAGAGATGGAAAATATTGTTTTAAAAATGTTGCTGCTGACGTGTACTATGTAGTTAGTCCGATAATGCCCTCTGAACTGAACAGGTACAGACATTTTTTTTCTGTCATTATTCCCTAAACATTCTTTAGATGGGTGATTCAGTGTAACAACTACAGTATATACAGCGTAACAGCTATTTACACAGCATTTACATTGGATCCAGTATTATAAGCAATCTAAGGATGATTTAAAGTTTACAGATGTGTGGTAGGTTATATGCAAATACTACCCTTCTTATATAAGGGACTTGATTATCAGCCATTTGGGGATCTAGGTATGGGGGTGGGGGTGTCCTGTGACCCTGCCACCTCATGCCATTTGCACCCTCCCAAGAGTCTCCCCAACCTCAGCTTTGTCCTGGAAACCTGGGAGTAAAGCCTGAGCCCGGCCTTTTCAACCCTCCTGGCCCAAAGGCCCCTGGTGTGGCCTGGGGGCCAGCTGCTGTTTGTGGCCCCAGCAGTCACCAAACAGTAATTCAGCCCCTATGCTGCCCAAGGCCCTGTGCTCTCTCCTGCGGGGGATTAGGGGAGGGAGTCGGGGTCCCCAAATTCAGGGCCAAAGGGAGAGAAGGTTCCTGGAAGGGGTGGTGGCCTTGCGGTTGCAGGGTCGCCTCCAGATGCCTCACGGGGCGCCCTGGCCAGATTCCTCCGGCGAGGCCGGGCGCTCCGGGCCACACACAGCGGTGGCAGTGCCCGCAGAGCCGGGTCCCCACGCGCCCCCGCTGGCGGCGACCCGGAAGGTCCCCGCGGCCGCGCCGGAAGAACGGCGGGCGGGGCGGCGTCAGGGCGGGAAGACCCAGCGCGCGGTGACCGGCCGGGACGCGGCGGTGGCTCCGCAGGTGAGGGCGCGGGCGGGTCGGGGAGGGGCTCGCGGGGCGCCCCAGGCCCGCCGGGCAGCGCGGGGACGGCCGGCCTGCGGGAGGCTGGCCTGCAGTTGCAGGTGGACGCCGTTCGTGCCCCCGCTTTCGGGATGAAGACGCGGGACGCGGCGAGTGGAGTCACCGGAAGGAGCCGAGCGGAAGCGCAGCGCGGGGTGGGGCCCACGGCGCCTGATCCAGGGCCCTGCACCCAGCGGGGCTCCGGTACGATCCTGGTGCCAGGGTATGTCCCCTCCGGCGACCTGGGTGTGTCCAACCTCCTGGACTAACGTGCTGTGCCGGCCTGTGCCACTTCTTGCAGTAACCCAGTTATGTGTGAGTGTCCCCTTAATGACCCTGGTTCTAGGTGACCTCTGGCAGGAACCTGTGTCCGTGTGCTTGTGTTCATGTCTGGCGGCCTTATATAAGCAAGGTGGAGTCCTAGCAGGATACCTGCGCAGGTCAGCTCACCTGGCCTTGCCCTGTGGCAGGAGGGTGTGGGTGCTAGTTTACAGATGATCAGGAAGAGATGGTAACAATTTAAGAAAGGAGGTTAGCCCTGGTGGGGGCTGGTAGCTCCTTTAGCCCTTAAAACAGAAACGGGGACACTTGGACATGTACAAAGGGACCGGCCAGGTAGGGAGTAGGTAGGGAGCCCTCAGGGGGGCCTGTGGCCGGGAGGGCGGCAGCTGCTCAGCTCTGTCTCAGTCGCTGCCAGAAGGCAGCCCAGTGTGCCTTGCTTTTCTGATTTTTCAAGACAAGGGACTCTGAGGTATTTGTGAGATCTCCTGATTCTTAAGCGCCAGCAACTGTTAACCTAAAAATAAAAGGCCCTTCAAGTGAGTGGCATCAAGCATTTATTTAAGATCAATAAGAATTGCTTTCGGACCAAACGAGTGGCTCAGTTGGTTAAGAGCTCACTCAAGAGTGTGCGCTCTGAGCAACAGGGTTGCCTAATTGAATACATGCCCAAGCTGAGCTGCCACTGAGCTGCCAACAGGTGGCAGGATGGTTCAACTAAAAAAAAAATAGATTTTTGGGACACACTGATTTAGGCAGAAATCCATCTAGTGTTGTGATTAGAGACAAAGGTGTTGAGTATCTATGAGAAGAGAGGCATTTCTATTGGTGCAGATAACATAACATAGTAATATTAAATCTAAACAATGTTTTAAATCTTCAGTCCCAGTTACTTTCATAACTGCTTCCTTGTTACTTTGCAAACAGCTCTTTGGGAAACAAGGTTGCACTCATTTGTGTGCTTAGCCTCACAGGACCCTGGCTACTGGGAAAATCAGGTTCTGTCTTCCTTCCCCATTCCTGAGTGGCGTCTGCCATGTGCAGTCCCTTCACTATTATAATACCATTTTATATTTGTGACATTTGTGTGTGGACAAGTCTTGGCCTCTGGAAGACTGGAAGGGGCTCTCTTCCCGGGATGGGGAGGGGCATGTGGTCACCCCTGGTGAGCAGAGGGTTCTGGGAGCCGGGAGGTGTTTGGCAGATCCAGCACACCTGGGAGTCAGAGCAAGGACGGCCACACCTGACTTCTCCCCCAGTCCCTTGGGCAGCCCTGCAGGGCGGCCCCTCCAATGCTGCTCACACCCCACCTGGCAAACAGACACATCTGAGGGACTTGTTTTGGCCATTTCTGAACTCGAGTCACAGATGTCAGATGTCCTGGGTCATGCTCTTTCAGAGTCTGGGCGTCCAGAGTGAGGCCAGACCACCTGGGGGCTTGTTATGCTCCACAGTCTCCCCCACCCGTGCCGGCTGTGCTAGCAGGACCGTCAGTGACTCCTGTGCCCTGTGGGGAATCACTGACCTCAAGACTGTCAGAAGGAACAGAGGGGAGAGTGTCAGGCGCTGGCGCCCAGGACCCTTCTTCACTCTCCTGGGACAGCCGAGAAGTCTGACTGCGGGGAGATGGCAGATCACAGATTTGTTCTAAGGACTCAGACTTTCCCCCCAGGACTGGGAGGGCAGATGTACTTTAGATATTCCTTGAGTCAAAAACCCTCATATAACCAAAAGATATTGAGCAATAGCGTCTGCCCCAAATGTTCTCAGTGAAGTTCCTTTAGCGGCTGTTCGCATGTGTCAGGCTTGAAAGAAAGGGGAGTATCGGAACAAGAAGTTCCCGCCCAGCCTTCCTTGGCTTGCTGCCACTTTGAGTTTACTCCTCAGCCCTGCCAGGTGGGGGCGCTCCATGCCCACCCTGGGCAGAGCCTGCCCTCGGCCCTGCCTGCCGTTTTCCTGCCAGCCTGGCTAACAGTGTCCTGACCCCAGAGATTGTTCTAGCATCATTGTTCAAAGGTCGAGTGCTCCTCCTGTCAGTCTAGGGGCATGTGTGTGACTCCCTGGAATTCTCCCGTTTCTTCTATCCTCTGGTGGCTTCACCTTACTGCCGCATACGGTCCCAGGAGGAGAAGTGGGGTGGCTTTCGGGGTGGTAGCTTTTAGAAGCCAGTGGTGGGTGTTAGTGACAGAATGGTCACCTGGAGCCATCGTGTCTGAGAGTCCGCAGGGTTCCAGACTCGCCAGGCGCCTTGTACCCGTTCTACTCACCTGTCTCCAGCATCCAGCCTGGAGGTGGTTTGTCTCCGCCGTACAGGTGAGGAAGCTCAGGGTGTCAGGGAGGCAAGTCGGCCAGTGCAGTGGCAGCCGTGTGTCCTCCCGCTTGCTGGCTTGGCCTGAGCACAGGTGCCCTGTCATGTAAAACGACACTGGGGCTTTTGCACTGAGCCAGGCTTTGCACGTGGGGCTGCCTAAGGCAGTGGAAAGGCCACCGAAGCCAGAGGTCAGACTTGCCACAGCTGTGATGAACTGTGTCACTGATCAGAAGTTAATCAGAGGGCAGAGAAGACCTGCCATCCCCTGTGCTGACTCTGTTTGCTTATTAACTAAACGCAGCTCTGCTTTCTCTGTGGTGAAGAACTTGCCATGTGACTGAGTGCCGTCTCATGCACACAGTGGAGCTATGGTTCTCTCCTGCAAAGGGGGACCCGTCCTCAAAGCTGTAGTAAGAGTAACCTTTGGGGGAAAAACTCTGACACTCATGAAAACTGTCCCTTCAAAATGCCTCCTTCCAGGCTTGCTGAGATGCCCGTCATGGTGGACGATGTCATGAAGCTGCTGTGCTCCATTTCTGAACAGAAGAAAATGAAGGCTGCCGTCAAGCACTCAGGGAGGGGCGCCCTAGTCACAGGGGCTGTGGCCTTTGTTGGTGGCTTGGTTGGTGGCCCGCCTGGACTAGCCCTGGGTAAGTGCCAGTGCCTCGCCGGGCAGCCAGCCTCATGGGTGTCAGATAAAGGCCTCACGTCCACAGAGACCACACAGAAGTCTCCATCCTGTGTGAGGAGTTGCTGAGTTAAGGTTGTTCCTGTGACATGATCTTTGTGTCCATAACTTGGCTTGTGAACAACACAAGCTTCTGTGTGAATGTCTCAGATGCAGGGGGTCTTGAAATGGCACCCGTGTCACGCAGACCTGGATGGAGGACCTGGATGCCAGGGATGTGTCCTAGAGTCTGCACCTCAGGGTGACACTTGGGTAGCCCCCATCGCCTGTCATCATTACAGGTCACCGCAGAGGGAACCAGGAGGCGAGGGAGCTGGGAAGTGTTGGGCACCGACTAGGATGCAGTTGGTTTTTTTGGATGAGGAGCAGGGAGAATCACCGTGTGGCCAAAACCACAGGCTGTGGCCTGAGCCATGGGCTGGGGTGGAGTTGGAGAGCTGGCTGGTCGGGCCTGACTTGGGGAGAAGCCCAATAGGGCCCCCCTCGAGGTGCCTGTGATGGACCCTGCAACCCTGGGCATGTGCTGAAGGCATGGCCGGCCACATCAGCTCAGCAGCCTTCCCAGAGGCCCCCGCGGTGCCGGGCAGCCTGGGCCGGGGGGCAGGGCCTCAGGGCGCTCAGTCTGGTAGAAATCCCCTGTGCGTGCTGGAGAGGCGGCCGCTTTCTGCTGAGGGCGGCCTCTGTCTGCAGCTCGTTGACAAGGCTTCCTGCTCTGTTCTTCCTTCAGGGGCAGGACTGACGTTCAAGGACACTGCATTAAGCTCAGGCCACATGGGGAGAAAGCGGGGTCCGCATGTGGGCGGCCTCAGCCCTCCCATCTCTACATTCCCTTCCCAACTCTGATTAGTGAGTCCTGACTGCAGCCTCCTGCCATCCTGGAAGCAGCCAGGCAGGGAGGTGACACGGCCGTGCCTCTTTCCTCAGTGATCGTCCCGCTCTGTCCCAGCCTGTGATGTGCCCAGGGGACGGCTTGCTGGCATCACTTGTCATGTCGCCATGCTCAGATGCTATTTTGGGAGCACACATTTTACTCAGACTCAGGGGAAACTGGTGGAACAGGATGCCAACAAGGGGACTGGGGACTGGCCACTGTCTCCACCTTGTCATGGGCTGGAGCCTCACTTTAGCCAGAAGGCAAAGGAATTTTCTCTGCTCCAGGGAGCGAGTAATCTCCTGGTGTGTATTCCTGGTGACTTTAGGAATGAGGTGCTTCTCTAAATCAAATATTCGTGTTCTCATGAAGGGTCAGTGCAGAGCAATGCAACTCCTGCCGGCTGTAGTGTCGTGGAGAAAAGTTCCGGGAACTTGTAAATTCCTGGTTTTCCTTCCCGGAACGCTCCTTTCTTTGGGACAGAGAGGAGCCTGTCTGGGGGCCATGTGCAGCCTCCGGGACTTAAGGATGGCGGGCGTCCCACCAGAGGAGGTGTGTGCAGGGGTTACTGCCCATCAGGTGAGTCTGGCCTGCTCAAGGGTTCTCTCTGGCCTGGGCTGCATTCTTTCAGACAAACTTCTTTATTTCTGAACAATATGAGATTTACAGAGAAGTTGCAAACACGGTGCACAGAATTCCCATGTATCCCTCACCAGTTTCAGTGCCTCTGACGTGAACACCTGATATTCCAGGTTCATGAGACAAAACTAAGAACCCAGCACTGACACACTCCGATTCCCCTTGTGCAGACTGTATGCGGTTTGTACCAGCTTTTCCATTACTGACCGTTTTCTGCTCCAGGGTCCAGCTCAGGGGACCTCATTGCCTTTAATCGTCGTCTCCTTAGTCCCTGGCCTGTGACAGTCGGGGACCTTGCTGGGTTTCATGGCCCTGAAATATCTGAGGAGTGCCGGTCGGGTGCTCTGTGGACGCCTCTCAGTCTGGGTTGCCTGGTCCTTTCTCCTGATAGACGGGGTCATGGGTTTGGGAAGAGTACCGCGGAGTTGAGGCGCCCTCCCCATCGCAGCGTTTCAGGGATTCCTGACATCCACGGGCCTCCCTGGTGATGTTGACCTGACCACCTGGTTAAGGTCGTGTTTGCCAGGCTTGTCCACCGTAAAGTCACCGTTACAACTTCCTGTATGTTCTTTTGAAGATAGTCAGGAAGTGCAGCCAGGCTGCAGCTTTGAAATATGTGAGCACCGGTGTTTAAAAATCAGGAGACTCATAAAGATACAAAGTTGTATTCTCTGTGGCAGCAATTGGCTGGCACATGGTAGCTGCTGCCCCTTTGGATAGGGACCGTGCTCTCCAGGTCCCCACAGGTCCTCTCAGCCCATGTCACTGCTTTCAGTTACCTGCCTGGCCTCAGAAGGCACTTGATTGGAGACCCAGCCCTGGGCCCTTCCTGCTGCAGACCCGCCCTGACTGGGGTACGTGGCACTTTCCGTTGACTTGAGGTCTTCCAGTCCCAACTGTGCCTGAACTTTGATGACAAGTTTGCATTTGCAGTAATGTTTGCACCCTTTGGGTGCAGCACAAAGATAAATAGTTGAGCACATTAAATTGCTTCTTGATCCTCATACGACTTTGGAGGTGTTGTATGGAAAACATGGCTTCACGAGAAAAGGTCTCCTTACCTGTCCCCAGGGCCTGTTAACCACTTGAGTTCACCGGAAATTTCTAAAGCTCAGGGGCAAGGAGCCTATGAGGCACTCGGTGGAGGAAACTTGTCCCCCTGAGAGGTGCTGGCCGTGCACTGGCCTCCCAGCCGTGTCCTTTCTGAGCAGAGAGATGTTGGTGGGAAGCGTGGGAACCTCCAGCCCTTGCAGAGGCTTTTCGGTAGCGGCTCTGGGCGGGGAGACGCTTCATGCTGCGTCGATGAGTGTGGGCTGAGGGCAGGGCGTGTTGGGGTGTCAGTTATCTGAGCTACACGGACAGAAGGAAGACCCATCAGCCTTTGTCCTCCGAGGGCCTGGCTGAGTAGACACGAAGCTGAGCCCACTGTGACACGGTCGTGAATACCCACTCGTCACAACGGGGATGTGCTCTGGGCCAGCACCCAAGGCCATCATTTGTGAATGGGGCCTGAGTAATTGATGGTTCTTTGTCTTCTAGGGGGCGCCGTCGGGGGCATGTTAGGTGCCTGGATGACAAGTGGGCAGTTCAAGCCAATTCCGCAGATCCTAATGGAGCTGCCGCCCGCTGAGCAGCAGAAGCTGGTGAACGAGGCCACCAACATCCTCAGGCACCTGGAGTGGACGGATGCTGTGCAGCTGACCCTGCTGGTCATGGGCAGTGAGGCCCTACAGCAGAAGCTCCTGGCCATGCTGGTGGGCTACGTTTCCAAGGAGCTGAATGCTGAAGTGTGCTATGACGACTAGGCCGCCCGTCGGAGGGGCTCTGGGAGGCGACAAGAGCTGGGGTGCCAGTCATCGTGTGTTACCTTAAGCTGCAGTGACAGCTCCTGCGGGACAGGCGTCCGCTGTCCTGTGTCATGTTCTGGGAATTCTCAGTGAAGACCTGGGGCTGGGAAGCCGGTGAGCAGCACAGGCGGCCTGTTGCCGAAGTGGCGGGAGCTTTCCGAGTCCGCCCTCCTGGCATGGAGCGTGGAGGAAGGTCCCGTGTTCAGCTTCTCAGCCGTGAACATGGCTTCTGTCCGAGCCCCTGGTGACTGGTCCCCCTCCGGGCCCAGGGTCTCGGAACCAGGGAGCCGCCCTCCTGGAATCCTGTTTGCCTCCCAGCCCCTTCCCAGTGGCCTCACGAGGGACAAGGTCAGGGACACACAGGCCACTCCATCCAGCCACGTGCCTTCGTCCGCCCCATCTGAGTCCTGCGTTTTAAATGCATCACTTTCAGTAACGGGCAGCGCTGCTTCTGAAGTCACCAGATCACCAACCATCTCTGAGTTATGTCCCTGCCCTAACGTTTCCCTAACACTGTAGCCCCTGCTTTTATGCTTTCACAGCCACCACAGGCCGCTCATCCAAGTGCAGTCAGCTTCTCTGAACGGCGCTTCTCCCACGTTGGTCCTGGGAAGCACCCCTCACATTGGGAGTCCTTCACTGGTTCCCAGTGTCGGGGAACCAGGGGCGGGTGCCGGGTTTGTGGCTTTAAACAACGAAAGACAGCCCGACCCCAGTGCCGACCCCAGTGCCAGCCCTGCCTCTCCACGCCCTGTGCTGCCAGGGAGTGTGCTCTCCCGTTTCCTCTAGCAACCACAGCGCCAGGGCGCAGACTTGGGGCCTCTCCAGGGACAGCAGCAGTGCCGGCCCCCCTGGGGGTGTGGGGGGAGGCACTCCTGTGAAATGGAGTCAGAGCTCCTGTGTGTGAAACAAACTTCAGGACGAATTAGAACACACGGTGCTTAAGGAACGACGGAGCGTTTGTGTCTCAGAAATTTCTCTCCAGCCACAGTCCTGGAGCTGAGGCCGTGGCCTTCCTCATATATGTGCTGTGTGAGTGATGGGGGCCGGCGGGGGCCTCTAGATGATTCTCCTAACTCAGGGGGGGCAACCGGGGGGTTGGGGACCTCCCCCATTCATGACTCAGGTGTTGGGTCCTCTCCTGCCAGGCCCAGGGACATGGTCCCAGCTCAGAGGTCCCACACCAATGTCCACTGAAGCCCCTCTCCGGCCGGCCTATCTTTACAGCTGGGAAAACTGCCCTGGGAGGGGAGGTCCCACTCCCGACCAGGTGGGGTCGGACGCACATGCCTTGTGAGCCACCCTTGCCTTGCCGGTCCCGGGGTGACTTGTGGTCAGCTTTGGACACAAGAGGGCCCCCCAGACCTTGAGTCCCCTCTCCAGCAGGCACTGAAGGCACTTTCCTTTTTCCCCCTCAGGCTCTCCATCAGCTCCTGTGGTTTTAGTATTTGTACTTAGTATTTATTTGTAAAAATCTCTACTTATTTATATTTGAATAGGCCACACCAGCCTGGTACAAAACTTAGAAGACACAGAGAGACAAACGTAAAAGGAAGGCTTTCTCTTACACCGACGCCTGCCCCAGCCCCTCCCACGACACAGCCACCTAAGTCACCACTTGCTTGTGTATTAACTCTGTTTAAAATGGTCTTCGAAAAAGATTCATTTCTTTTTATTTATCAATGTTTATTGCTGAAAAATTAGAAAATCCAGAAGAGTGTAATGAAATAAAAAACACTACAAAAACCATTACCATTCAGGGAAACACTGTTACCAAGTGTGGTGTATTCTGTGCAAATCTTTTAATGCTGTGTGTCTGTTCCTAACATATTTGCATTCTTGCTATTTAGACTCTTGGCACACTTTCCAATTAACATTAGTGATGTAACTTCAATTCTTGTAAACGTGTGTGATGGCTGTATAATATCCACGGCACTTAGCTGTTCCCCTGGTGTGGCTTCCTCTGTAGGTTTTTATTATTATAATGCTGGGTGAACATTTTTGTGTTAATACTCTGTTTGTATTTTGGGTTATGATAGGTGGTCTTTAGGTGTGTGGCCGCGTCACGGGCTACGCGGGACCAGTGTCCCTAAGGAGCAAAAGGGAGGCTGTACGGAACTCACTGGGATGACCCACAGACTCTCTTAGTGACAGCCTCATTCTGAGCGTGAACCTGGCCCCCAAGTCCCCACCTGGTCCCTTTCCCTGGACTCTCCTGAGAGGTGGGCCACCCTGTCACGTGATTCAGGACCACTCCCTCCTCTGCACAGGTGGGGGAAGTGGCTGGGGACCCTGCAGCCCTCAGCAGGACCCCTGAGTCTGTGTCTATTTCTGGAGCCAGGATGTGGGTGAGCCAGCTGTACCGAAGCAGGGGTGAAGGTGAGGAAGGGGGCTCCCCCGGGGGCTGCAAGAACCACTCCTGTGGTGTCCTTCGCTCTCACGCCTCTGCCACACTCACAGCTCTCCTGACACCGGGTGTGCGGGGCTTTTCCCACACCCGGCAAGTCTCTGCGATGCCAGCTGGGTGTCTTACGATTCAATTCCACTCTGACAGTAACGGGAGTTCATGCAGACCCCCAGGTTAAGGGCTCAGTCCCACAAGACTGCCCCCCTTCAGATGCCGATGGCAAGTCCCAGGGGTCACCTGTACTTCTGACTGGCCAGCTTTACAGCAGGGTTCCCATGACCCCCTCTTTGGGATTGCCAATTTGCTAGAACAGCTCACAGAATGCAGGCAAACACATTCACTGGTTTATTATAGGATGTGATAAAGGTGCAGACGGGCAGCCACGTGCAGAGATGTGCAGGGCAAGGTGTGTGGGAAGGGGGTGGGGCTTCCACGCCCTCTCCAGGTGTGCCCCCTGCCAGCACCCCACCTGTTCACCAGCCCCAAGCTCCCTGAGCCCTGTACTTGTGAGACTTTTACGGAGCTGAAACAGAGACAATAAAATGGAGTAATAAGCATTGCTCAGAGAGCCGCTTGAAATGGAGCCGGAGGCCGGAGGACCTGTGGCCTGAGCACGGCTCCCGGCTCAGTTCTGGGAACGACGGTGAAGGTGCTGACCTGTTGCTAAGCTCAGCCCAAGGCCGAACACCAAACCTCCCGGGTCCTGGATTCTGCAAGGACACATGTGGCCCTCCGTCCTCCTCCCCATAGTGACCAGACCATGCGCAGTCTTCACCTTGGAAGGAACCAGCGCGCTGGACAACGGCACCTTCGCTTCCATAGCGGGGCTGATGGATCCCAGCCGACCTGGCCGACACCCTCCATCTACATGGAGGACCACGGTGAGAACAGCCCCCATGGCTTTCCCGGTGTATCCCTGCCTTTCTCAGTCCCTTCGGAGCACAATTCAGGTTGTGACCTGAATCTGCCTGCATTGCAGTCTCTGCTCAGTTAGATGCGTTTCTTATTCTGTAGTCCCGCCGAAACTGTGTGTGTGTGTGTGTGTGTGTGTG